CCACGCGCGCAGGCACTCCGCAGCGAGAGGCCCCAGAGCGCCGAGTCTGCGGGAGGCTCCGACGGCACGGGGAAAGGCTCGGGAGCTGCTCTGCCCCGCCACGGCCCCGACGCGCGTCCCCCTGCGCCCCGGCGATGGCCGCCGTACCTGTTGTCCCCGGGATGGAGTACTGGGGCCCGGGGCTGGGGAACTGGGCCGAGATGAGGCCGCGCGGGCGATGCGGTCTCCACGTCCCCACCCAGGCTCCGTCCATGCTGGCAGGCGCGTGCCTCCAAACCTACAGGCAAGAGCAGAGGAGTCAGTGCCGGGCTGCCCCGGCAGAGGCCGCGGGTGAGCTCCGCTTGCCGCCGCCCGCCGCTCGGAGCCCGGAGGGGCCGGCAGGAGCGGGCTGTCTCCTCCGCTCAGCCGCGAGCTGTCCGCCGCGTGCCTTGCGGCTCCCGGGCCAGAAGGGCCGGCAGCGATTTCTGCTGCTCACGGCGGTCCTGCCGCTCTCGTGCCGCACGCCCCTCGCGCGCGGCGGAGCTCAGCCCGCACCCCGCGGCCGGGCTCTGCGGCCCGAAGCGTGCCGGAGCTCTCCCTCACCTCTGTGAGCCTTGGAGGACGAGCGCGACGAGGCTGAGCTAGTCTGCTGCTGGGGCTGCTCTCGGGCACGGGGCACGGCGAGCGGCTGCGGGCAGCGCAGCTCACGAATGGGGCGCCTGGAGCCGGCGGCCAGCTGCCCTCGGGGAGGGCCCGGCGTCGCCATTGTGACGGCACGCGGGCTCCGGGGACGTCATCGGTGCTGGGACGTCTCCCGGCCGGCCCGGAGCCGCGCCCTCCACGCCTTTTCGGCCGCGCGCCCCAGCCCGGAAAAAGCTGGAGCGCACGCTGCCGACCCCTGCAGGTGGACCGAGCTCTCAGTGCCAGCCCCGTGCCGCCCGGGGCTCCTGGGGCTTCATCAGCGTCACCTGCAAGGGAGAGAATCCCAGCGGGGAAATGCACTGAAAGTCCCTTCCGCCTGGGAAGGTGCAGCCACCAGCTTGATGATTTGGTTGCCCTCTCTTTTAGCTTGTTCCAAAAATACATCTAAATGAAGTGCACGTGTTGTTGCCGTTCACTCTGTTCTAGAGCGCATCCGTGGCACCAGGCAATTCCTCTTCGCCCAGTCCGGCCCAGACAGGCCAGGACCAGATCATAGAATCACAGAACAGGCTGGGTTGAAAGGGACCACAATGACCATCTCGTTTCAACCCCCTGCTGTGTGCAGGTCGCCAACCAGCAGCCCAGGCTGCCCAGAGCCACGTCCAGCCTGGCCTTGAATGCCTGCAGGGATGGGGCATCCACAGCCTCCTTGGGCAGCCTGTTCCAGTGCCTCACCACCGTCAGAGTGAAAGACTTCCCCCTCACATCCAACCTAAGCCTCCCCGTTCCCCCTTCTCCTATCACTAGGAGACTTGTAGACAGACATTCCCCCTCCTGTTTATACACTGCCTTCGAGGATTGGAAGGCCACAGTGAGGTTTCCCCCGGAGCCTTCTCTTCTCCGAGCTAAACAAGCCCGGTTCCCTCAGCCCTTCTTCATAGGAGAGCTGCTCCAGCCCTCTGATCCTATTAGCGGTCCTGCTCTGGACCCGTTCCGAGAGCTCTGCGTCTTCGTTGTGCTGGGGGCCCCAGGCCTGGGCGCAGCGCTGCAGATGGGGCCTCACAAGAGCCGAGCAGAGGAGGACGATCACCTCCCTCTCCCCGCTGGCCGCCCCTTTTTAATGCAGCCCAGAACACAGCTGGCCTTCCAGGCGGCGAGCGCGCACTGCTGGATCCCGCCGCACCCCCGCCTCACCCTGAAGAAGAATAGGATCCCCGATGGCAACACCGAGCTGTGCAGCCTTTCCCCAGAATTCCGAGGATGCTGCCACACCTCCTCAAATCCCTCCCAAAATGCCCAGGACCCCCCAAGCTTCGCCCCCTCTCCCCCCCAAAATCCCCAGGGGCCCATCCCCCCAACACTGCCCAAAGCCCTTCAGCTGGCCACAGAGTTTCCCAGGACCCCAAAGCTCACCCAGGGCGCCCAAGCTGCACCCGTCTCCCCAAGGCTTCCAGCGCGCTTCTTTTCCAGCTCCGCAGGGACGCCTCCCCTGCCCTGAGCCACGGGCAGTGCTGCGGGGGCATCCCCCCGTGCTGAACTGCAGTCCTGGTTCTGCACCGCAATAGAACCGTCACAGTCTGGTCCAGGCTTCAGAACAACCACCGTACTGTCCTCTTCTCAGGACAGGTGCGGAACAAACGCTCGCTGTGCCAAGCGCGATGGAGAAGCCAGGAGTGAGTCGTCTCGCTTCTCAGCTTCTCCCCCCGCCAGCAACGCCCCCCCGTTGCTATTGGAGTTGCTGTTACTGGAACAGTTGATCCGTTAGTAGAGAGTGCCCCAAAGGCTGCTTGCCTCCAAACGACGTATGATAGAAAGCTGCAGCCACACGGTGAATCACCGGTGATGGTGCCTGCTGATCCTGAGAGGATGCCTGCTTTACCCTGGGCGCTTCAGAACCACTGAAAGCCATAGGCACACAGCTGCAAGATGAGATACAGGCTACGTCTCAGGGAGAAAGAAGCCGGGCACTGTTAGAAGAGGCTGTAACCTCTAACCATCTGCAGTCGGGATACAAAGCACGGACGTGGGGGGAGGGAGGTTGCCCAAGAGTCAGTTGACCACGGGAGAAAATATGGTTTCTTCCAGCGGTTTCTTCCTCCAGGAAATTGGAGCCAAGGGAAGTGAGGCTTGCCGCGGCCAGCCTTGCCCCCAGGCCACCTAGCCCAAAGCTCAGTGGGACTGGGAGGGTCTCACTGTCAGTAAAAGCAGGGAGGCGAAATATCGATCATAAGCGTAATTGTCTCTGGACACTGGGCTGGCACAAGGCTGTTCCACGAGATCTGATGAACGGAGCAGCCACTGTCAGGTTAGAGGCATTCTTTGAGCGGTGGCCGGAACAGAAGCTCAGGAATCTGGAGGAAAGCAAAAGCCCAGGTGCGAGGGCCTCTCCCGAGGAACCCGAGCGGCTCTCCAAGCCATTAGAAAGCTGCTGTCTTCGTCCCTCCCAGGTGAGCGGGGGGCGGTGAGGGGTGGATGCATGAGAAAGCTCACAGCCAAGGGAAACAAAGAGATCCTCCATGTAACACCTTCCGTGCAAAGGCCTCACCACTCTTGCCACTTATCCCTGGGAGTCACGGTTCAGTGGCTGAGAAGCTAGGGAAAGCCTCTTATCTCCCTGGCCAGCCTGTGTCGATTGACCCGGCTAACCTGCGGCCAGTTTCCCTAACCCTAATGGAATCCCTGAACGAATGTGCTTGGAAGGCTAAAGACACCCCGAGAAAGGAATAGAAAAGCAACACTTGCTGGACTGTGCCCTCCTTTGTTAGCCGTATTAACAAAGCCCCAGAAGGGCGAGTCGGTGTCTTGTTGTATGTTACAGAAGATCCCCGTGGGACCTGGATTGGACACAGGAAGGCTGATAGCTGATTTTAACAGCTGTGGTTTGTGACAGAAGATGCGATCACGCTAGAATCCTGAATACACCTCTTGATGACACGTTCTGGTTGCAGCAGTGTTATGTTTTGCGTTGCTGTGGGTGTGGGTGGTGGTTGGTATCGGTCCTCGGACCTGTTAAACTTCACAACTGGCTTCAGGGTTCTTAGAGGTCATCCTAGCTTCCTGGTGCTCCCTGCACAGTGACAGCCTTTCTTTTGAGCCCTTCTTTCACCCCTTTTTATCAAACTGCTCATGACTGGCATGTAAGTCCTCCGCAGCCTTTCCAAATTCCTAACAAACTGGGAAACGAATCAGGGGACCCATCTAATATCTGTCAGACGTGGGCACAAAGGAAACGTGTCATAAAGCCTTTTGCACTGATGCTTTTCAGTGTCACACCAGTCCAGGAGCTCCATCCAAAACGTGGCTGTTGGAAAGCGCCTAAGCTTTGGTAGGAGACGTGTACGTCTCTGGGATTACTCCTCTTTGGTGCTTCCTCCTGTGGGCTATCCTGCACACGCTCTCCCGTGAAAGCCTCTGTAGACTGTAACAGTACTCGAACTTGCCAAGCTAGGATTTCTCTCTCCCAGCATTTGAATTGCTTTGGGAATGCTCAAGTGGACAGTTCTCATGGCACGAAATCATCTTAGAGAACACTCCATGGCAAGTCCACATACTGTCAGATTGGACTAGGTACGCTTTTGGTGAATTAACTGAAGCGTGCTGTTGCACGGCTCCTGAGAAACACCACAGCTCTGCTGAAGGATTCCCACCTGGATCCTGGCTTCCGCTGGGAGTTCCTGGCTGCTGGGGAAAGCAGCTGAGCCAAACAGCTCTGTTTGTTTTGCTTACTGATTTGTCATTACTGGTTCTTGTGCAATGCATGGCTGTTGCCAAATGTATGGTTGTCCCTTTTCACTTTCTACCTTTTCTTCATTGCGTAACATTGGTGCCATCACTGCTGAGGAGTCACCGGGTGGTGTCTGTGGCAAATTGGATGGCTCTAATTGTTGCCTACAAATTGGATGACAATGAAGAGGTTGCTAAACAAATTGCCCGTGGGTGAAACGCCTCCTATTCTGTGTGCCGTTGCCACTCTCGTGTTTGTTCCTTGCGTGGTTCCATGGCGGATTCAACTTACACAAGGACTTGTATCCTCCATGTGCTTTGTAACCACTTCAACTGATGATGAACAAGCCCAGCGCATCAGGGCGACCTTTGTAACCAAGCCCAAGAAATCCTTTCTAACAACTGTGTAACGTTTCACCCCCTTCCTCCCCACCCCTCTTTTCCCTTCCGCTTACTTTTTCTCTTTTCTTCCTTTCTCTTCTCTCTTTCCTCACCACCACGAACGGTCACTTGCACATCAGTTTCAAGCAGCCTTGTTCTGGCTCCAAGCTTGCTGCCAGACGCATTTCTTGTGATGAGACTGACTTGTCTAGGAGATGAGTGACGGGTGTTGCCGTGGGGCAACCAACATCACTGTGTGGACAATTGTAGCTGTTTGCCTTTGCAAGAGAGTGCTCAGGACCGTTTGCTGGCGGAAGATCTAGCCTGTGACCAAGTGTCTCCAGCTTGCTGTGGGAGACTGGGGGATGATCCCACTGTACCCTGCAGGTACAAGGCGAGATACAAGTGGGCGCCTCCCTGCTCCCTCTTATCTGCTGGCAAGGCCCGGAAGATGGGAACCAAAGGAGTTCCTGCCGAGATCCAAAAGCCAGAAGCTGTCACTCCAAAAACAGCTGACTCAACCCCTCTGGACTCACAAATAAGGTGGTACTGCCACGTGGTCACCGTCGTCGTCGACAGAACAACAGTGCCCGACGACCCACCACCACTGAAGATCACGGACTGAACTATGAACCACGCTGGATCCACGGTGGTGACCATCGATCTCCCTCTTGCTTCCTGCAGAGACTCCTTGCTTCTCCTTTCCTATGTTTCCTATCGCCCTCCTTCTCTTCCCCATCCCCCTCATTCAAAATACTGTCTGTCCTCCCCTTCCCCACCTCCCTGATTAAGATCTCTAATAAACTGGTCGGACCAACATTTCTGCCGTTGTCCTGTAAGCCCCGGGCACCTCCCTAAAATCCTCCTGTCGGCGCTGGAAGGGATGCACTGCCCGCGGCCGGCCTCCCGTTGCCATTTGCTTCCTTTATTCTTTACTTCAGCACGTGGCAGACATCAGCACTGCAAACGGCTGATCAAGCAAGCATCGGCGGTCTCCAACGCACTGATGTTTGAAAGGCTTCGGGAAGCGCTGGCGCATTCCTGTGTGCAGCGGGGAGGAAAAAGGAGTAACAAGAAAGCACACATGTTGGTGTTGGGTTGGTTTTATTGATGACTCACTCCAATTGCTAACAGTTGTTCAAGTAAAATGGGCAAAAGCCCAAGTCCATAGATGGAAATTGCATCAAGTCCATAGATGGAAATGGCATCAAGTCCATAGATGGAAATGGCATCTAGTCCATAGATGGAAATGGAAGCAGTCCATAGATGGAAATGGAATCAAGTGGAAACCGGCAGTTGATTGGTGTCTTCCCGGCCCCTCCCATGCCAGGAAAGCAAAGGCGGCCTTCCAGACGTGGCTGATTTATTCCACAATCAGAGGGGTTGTGTAGAGGGAATGCCGGATTCCAAAAGTGGATGCAGGCGCCCGGGGCTTGATCAGCGTCACCTGGAAGGGCAAAAAGGAAAGGCAGATCAGCAAGGGCCCTTCTCTTCTCTGCTGCCCTCCCTTCCTCTGCTCGGAGGTGGCACGAGGGCAGGGAGCAGGCCTGCTCTCCGGCACTTGGTCCCTGCGGCCAGAAGCTCTTTGGCCGGAGGAAGCCTCAGGGCAAGGGGGAGAGGTGTGAAGGCTGTGCTTGTGAAACAGAGGGGACGAGCTGAGCAGCGAGCTGCCTTACCCGGCCTATGTTGTAGTCTGCGGGCCCGGGCTTCACTGCTTTGCCCTCTGCAGGTTTTGATCGGGCCGCCATGGTGTACGCGGGCGCCCTGGTCTTGTAGGCATCCACAGCTACCTTGGGAAACGCCGCGGGCCCCGGAGTCTGCAAGAGAGTCATGGGTGCACGGGGCTGGGATCACACGCAAGGCTCTCTTTCCCTGGAAGCCTGCGTTTAGCAAAGGTGCTTGGGGCTTGGAAGCCCCCTGGCACAGGGAGAGCAGCCCAGCTTCGGATGCTAACATGGAAAAGAGGAGCAGCAGAGCTCACCTTGGCAAGGTCTTCGTCAAAGCGGCCGCGCTGGCTCCTTCCCCTCATGGAGTAGCAGGGGCTGGCCGCCGTGTAGGCTGTATTGGGGCCCATCAGCTTGGGCAGCGTGTAGGTGCCCGGACCTGCAGGAGGAGCAGCAGAGAGCGTGTGCGTGAGGGGCTGGAGGAGACGGAAGCAGCAGAGAGGGGCAGCCCGCCCAGCCTGCTGGGGGGAGGGCTCGCCCCTCTGCCAGTTCCTGCCTCTACTCCGGCACTGGGCCAGTGCCGGCAGCTCCGAGCCCGAGCAGCCGGAGCCGCTGCGGGCCGAGAGGTGTTGGTCACGCCAGAAAGCTTGCGGCCCCAACGCCGCACAGGCTGCGCGGTCGGCCCGCTGCTGGTACTGATCAGCGGCCCGTCCCTGCAGGATGCTCAGGATGAAGGGTCTGCCTTTGCCGCGGTCAGCGTACCTGGAGGGCGGTCTGTGCGCAGGGGCTCCCGCCGGAAGGCCATGGACTGCACCGGTGGGCACTTGAAGACGTGCCTGTTGGCTGCCTCGGTGCGGTAGTCACCTGGGGCGGAGGAGAAGAGGAAGAAAGCCGTGAAGTGCTGGTCTCCTGCAGCCGCAGGGACAACGTCCCGAGGAAAGGGTCTTCTGAAGGGCTGCAGGATTGCCGGGGGGCGCAGGCAGCACGCGGGGACGCTTTTCCGTGCCCCGCCACTATGTCCTGCCTTGCTGTCCCTCCTGTCAGCCCCCGGCTCCCTGTTCTTTTCGGACGCGGGGTCCTTGTGCCCTCGGCCCGTGGTGCTGGGCAGCCGTCCTTCTCCAAGGGGAGAGCGTGTTTATCGCTGCTCACAGCGGTTTGTGCTCTCTCACAAAAGACCGACGGCTCCATCAGGGCGCGAGCTGACCCAGGGCAAACGCCGCGTGTGGGGGAAGCGCTGCAGAAGTGGTACTCACTGGGTCCGGGGGTGACGGTGGTCTTCGTCGTGGGGCGTCCACAAAGGTGGGCGCTCGGAGCCACGTGCTTCCCGTTCCTGGTGACGGCGGGCTGCACAAAGTAGCAGGGACCTGGCCCGCAGCTCTCGGCCGCAGGCGGCTTGGTCCCGCGAAACGTGTACGCGGGGGCACGGGCTTTGGTGGGGCTGTGGCCCACGAAACCTAGGAGGAAAAGCAGAAGAGTCAGTCCCTGAGCGCAAATGCCTGCGCCAGCGCCATGCAAAGCCGCCGGAAGGAGAGAGCGGAGCTTTGGCCAGCGCGCTGCCAGTGGCCAGCAGTTTCCAAAGGCCTGCCCGCACCACGCGCGCAGGCACTCCGCAGCGAGAGGCCCCAGAGCGCCGAGTCTGCGGGAGGCTCCGACGGCACGGGGAAAGGCTCGGGAGCTGCTCTGCCCCGCCACGGCCCCGACGCGCGTCCCCCTGCGCCCCGGCGATGGCCGCCGTACCTGTTGTCCCCGGGATGGAGTACTGGGGCCCGGGGCTGGGGAACTGGGCCGAGATGAGGCCGCGCGGGCGATGCGGTCTCCACGTCCCCACCCAGGCTCCGTCCATGCTGGCAGGCGCGTGCCTCCAAACCTACAGGCAAGAGCAGAGGAGTCAGTGCCGGGCTGCCCCGGCAGAGGCCGCGGGTGAGCTCCGCTTGCCGCCGCCCGCCGCTCGGAGCCCGGAGGGGCCGGCAGGAGCGGGCTGTCTCCTCCGCTCAGCCGCGAGCTGTCCGCCGCGTGCCTTGCGGCTCCCGGGCCAGAAGGGCCGGCAGCGATTTCTGCTGCTCACGGCGGTCCTGCCGCTCTCGTGCCGCACGCCCCTCGCGCGCGGCGGAGCTCAGCCCGCACCCCGCGGCCGGGCTCTGCGGCCCGAAGCGTGCCGGAGCTCTCCCTCACCTCTGTGAGCCTTGGAGGACGAGCGCGACGAGGCTGAGCTAGTCTGCTGCTGGGGCTGCTCTCGGGCACGGGGCACGGCGAGCGGCTGCGGGCAGCGCAGCTCACGAATGGGGCGCCTGGAGCCGGCGGCCAGCTGCCCTCGGGGAGGGCCCGGCGTCGCCATTGTGACGGCACGCGGGCTCCGGGGACGTCATCGGTGCTGGGACGTCTCCCGGCCGGCCCGGAGCCGCGCCCTCCACGCCTTTTCGGCCGCGCGCCCCAGCCCGGAAAAAGCTGGAGCGCACGCTGCCGACCCCTGCAGGTGGACCGAGCTCTCAGTGCCAGCCCCGTGCCGCCCGGGGCTCCTGGGGCTTCATCAGCGTCACCTGCAAGGGAGAGAATCCCAGCGGGGAAATGCACTGAAAGTCCCTTCCGCCTGGGAAGGTGCAGCCACCAGCTTGATGATTTGGTTGCCCTCTCTTTTAGCTTGTTCCAAAAATACATCTAAATGAAGTGCACGTGTTGTTGCCGTTCACTCTGTTCTAGAGCGCATCCGTGGCACCAGGCAATTCCTCTTCGCCCAGTCCGGCCCAGACAGGCCAGGACCAGATCATAGAATCACAGAACAGGCTGGGTTGAAAGGGACCACAATGACCATCTCGTTTCAACCCCCTGCTGTGTGCAGGTCGCCAACCAGCAGCCCAGGCTGCCCAGAGCCACGTCCAGCCTGGCCTTGAATGCCTGCAGGGATGGGGCATCCACAGCCTCCTTGGGCAGCCTGTTCCAGTGCCTCACCACCGTCAGAGTGAAAGACTTCCCCCTCACATCCAACCTAAGCCTCCCCGTTCCCCCTTCTCCTATCACTAGGAGACTTGTAGACAGACATTCCCCCTCCTGTTTATACACTGCCTTCGAGGATTGGAAGGCCACAGTGAGGTTTCCCCCGGAGCCTTCTCTTCTCCGAGCTAAACAAGCCCGGTTCCCTCAGCCCTTCTTCAAAGGAGAGCTGCTCCAGCCCTCTGATCCTATTAGCGGTCCTGCTCTGGACCCGTTCCGAGAGCTCTGCGTCTTCGTTGTGCTGGGGGCCCCAGGCCTGGGCGCAGCGCTGCAGATGGGGCCTCACAAGAGCCGAGCAGAGGAGGACGATCACCTCCCTCTCCCCGCTGGCCGCCCCTTTTTAATGCAGCCCAGAACACAGCTGGCCTTCCAGGCGGCGAGCGCGCACTGCTGGATCCCGCCGCACCCCCGCCTCACCCTGAAGAAGAATAGGATCCCCGATGGCAACACCGAGCTGTGCAGCCTTTCCCCAGAATTCCGAGGATGCTGCCACACCTCCTCAAATCCCTCCCAAAATGCCCAGGACCCCCCAAGCTTCGCCCCCTCTCCCCCCCAAAATCCCCAGGGGCCCATCCCCCCAACACTGCCCAAAGCCCTTCAGCTGGCCACAGAGTTTCCCAGGACCCCAAAGCTCACCCAGGGCGCCCAAGCTGCACCCGTCTCCCCAAGGCTTCCAGCGCGCTTCTTTTCCAGCTCCGCAGGGACGCCTCCCCTGCCCTGAGCCACGGGCAGTGCTGCGGGGGCATCCCCCCGTGCTGAACTGCAGTCCTGGTTCTGCACCGCAATAGAACCGTCACAGTCTGGTCCAGGCTTCAGAACAACCACCGTACTGTCCTCTTCTCAGGACAGGTGCGGAACAAACGCTCGCTGTGCCAAGCGCGATGGAGAAGCCAGGAGTGAGTCGTCTCGCTTCTCAGCTTCTCCCCCCGCCAGCAACGCCCCCCCGTTGCTATTGGAGTTGCTGTTACTGGAACAGTTGATCCGTTAGTAGAGAGTGCCCCAAAGGCTGCTTGCCTCCAAACGACGTATGATAGAAAGCTGCAGCCACACGGTGAATCACCGGTGATGGTGCCTGCTGATCCTGAGAGGATGCCTGCTTTACCCTGGGCGCTTCAGAACCACTGAAAGCCATAGGCACACAGCTGCAAGATGAGATACAGGCTACGTCTCAGGGAGAAAGAAGCCGGGCACTGTTAGAAGAGGCTGTAACCTCTAACCATCTGCAGTCGGGATACAAAGCACGGACGTGGGGGGAGGGAGGTTGCCCAAGAGTCAGTTGACCACGGGAGAAAATATGGTTTCTTCCAGCGGTTTCTTCCTCCAGGAAATTGGAGCCAAGGGAAGTGAGGCTTGCCGCGGCCAGCCTTGCCCCCAGGCCACCTAGCCCAAAGCTCAGTGGGACTGGGAGGGTCTCACTGTCAGTAAAAGCAGGGAGGCGAAATATCGATCATAAGCGTAATTGTCTCTGGACACTGGGCTGGCACAAGGCTGTTCCACGAGATCTGATGAACGGAGCAGCCACTGTCAGGTTAGAGGCATTCTTTGAGCGGTGGCCGGAACAGAAGCTCAGGAATCTGGAGGAAAGCAAAAGCCCAGGTGCGAGGGCCTCTCCCGAGGAACCCGAGCGGCTCTCCAAGCCATTAGAAAGCTGCTGTCTTCGTCCCTCCCAGGTGAGCGGGGGGCGGTGAGGGGTGGATGCATGAGAAAGCTCACAGCCAAGGGAAACAAAGAGATCCTCCATGTAACACCTTCCGTGCAAAGGCCTCACCACTCTTGCCACTTATCCCTGGGAGTCACGGTTCAGTGGCTGAGAAGCTAGGGAAAGCCTCTTATCTCCCTGGCCAGCCTGTGTCGATTGACCCGGCTAACCTGCGGCCAGTTTCCCTAACCCTAATGGAATCCCTGAACGAATGTGCTTGGAAGGCTAAAGACACCCCGAGAAAGGAATAGAAAAGCAACACTTGCTGGACTGTGCCCTCCTTTGTTAGCCGTATTAACAAAGCCCCAGAAGGGCGAGTCGGTGTCTTGTTGTATGTTACAGAAGATCCCCGTGGGACCTGGATTGGACACAGGAAGGCTGATAGCTGATTTTAACAGCTGTGGTTTGTGACAGAAGATGCGATCACGCTAGAATCCTGAATACACCTCTTGATGACACGTTCTGGTTGCAGCAGTGTTATGTTTTGCGTTGCTGTGGGTGTGGGTGGTGGTTGGTATCGGTCCTCGGACCTGTTAAACTTCACAACTGGCTTCAGGGTTCTTAGAGGTCATCCTAGCTTCCTGGTGCTCCCTGCACAGTGACAGCCTTTCTTTTGAGCCCTTCTTTCACCCCTTTTTATCAAACTGCTCATGACTGGCATGTAAGTCCTCCGCAGCCTTTCCAAATTCCTAACAAACTGGGAAACGAATCAGGGGACCCATCTAATATCTGTCAGACGTGGGCACAAAGGAAACGTGTCATAAAGCCTTTTGCACTGATGCTTTTCAGTGTCACACCAGTCCAGGAGCTCCATCCAAAACGTGGCTGTTGGAAAGCGCCTAAGCTTTGGTAGGAGACGTGTACGTCTCTGGGATTACTCCTCTTCGGTGCTTCCTCCTGTGGGCTATCCTGCACACGCTCTCCTGTGAAAGCCTCTGTAGACTGTAACAGTACTCGAACTTGCCAAGCTAGGATTTCTCTCTCCCAGCATTTGAATTGCTTTGGGAATGCTCAAGTGGACAGTTCTCATGGCACGAAATCATCTTAGAGAACACTCCATGGCAAGTCCACATACTGTCAGATTGGACTAGGTACGCTTTTGGTGAATTAACTGAAGCGTGCTGTTGCACGGCTCCTGAGAAACACCACAGCTCTGCTGAAGGATTCCCACCTGGATCCTGGCTTCCGCTGGGAGTTCCTGGCTGCTGGGGAAAGCAGCTGAGCCAAACAGCTCTGTTTGTTTTGCTTACTGATTTGTCATTACTGGTTCTTGTGCAATGCATGGCTGTTGCCAAATGTATGGTTGTCCCTTTTCACTTTCTACCTTTTCTTCATTGCGTAACATTGGTGCCATCACTGCTGAGGAGTCACCGGGTGGTGTCTGTGGCAAACTGGATGGCTCTAATTGTTGCCTACAAATTGGATGACAATGAAGAGGTTGCTAAACAAATTGCCCGTGGGTGAAACGCCTCCTATTCTGTGTGCCGTTGCCACTCTCGTGTTTGTTCCTTGCGTGGTTCCATGGCGGATTCAACTTACACAAGGACTTGTATCCTCCATGTGCTTTGTAACCACTTCAACTGATGATGAACAAGCCCAGCGCATCAGGGCGACCTTTGTAACCAAGCCCAAGAAATCCTTTCTAACAACTGTGTAACGTTTCACCCCCTTCCTCCCCACCCCTCTTTTCCCTTCCGCTTACTTTTTCTCTTTTCTTCCTTTCTCTTCTCTCTTTCCTCACCACCACGAACGGTCACTTGCACTTCGGTTTCAAGCAGCCTTGTTCTGGCTCCAAGCTTGCTGCCAGACGCATTTCTTGTGATGAGACTGACTTGTCTAGGAGATGAGTGACGGGTGTTGCCGTGGGGCAACCAACATCACTGTGTGGACAATTGTAGCTGTTTGCCTTTGCAAGAGAGTGCTCAGGACCGTTTGCTGGCAGAAGATCTAGCCTGTGACCAAGTGACTCCAGCTTGCTGTGGGAGACTGGGGGATGATCCCACTGTACCCTGCAGGTACAAGGCGAGATACAAGTGGGCGCCTCCCTGCTCCCTCTTATCTGCTGGCAAGGCCCGGAAGATGGGAACCAAAGGAGTTCCTGCCGAGATCCAAAAGCCAGAAGCTGTCACTCCAAAAACAGCTGACTCAACCCCTCTGGACTCACAAATAAGGTGGTACTGCCACGTGGTCACCGTCGTCGTCGACAGAACAACAGTGCCCGACGACCCACCACCACTGAAGATCACGGACTGAACTATGAACCACGCTGGATCCACGGTGGTGACCATCGATCTCCCTCTTGCTTCCTGCAGAGACTCCTTGCTTCTCCTTTCCTATGTTTCCTATCGCCCTCCTTCTCTTCCCCATCCCCCTCATTCAAAATACTGTCTGTCCTCCCCTTCCCCACCTCCCTGATTAAGATCTCTAATAAACTGGTCGGACCAACATTTCTGCCGTTGTCCTGTAAGCCCCGGGCACCTCCCTAAAATCCTCCTGTCGGCGCTGGAAGGGATGCACTGCCCGCGGCCAGCCTCCCTTTGCTATTTGCTTCCTTTATTCTTTACTTCAGCACGTGGCAGACATCAGCACTGCAAACGGCTGATCAAGCAAGCATCGGCGGTCTCCAACGCACTGATGTTTGAAAGGCTTCGGGAAGCGCTGGCGCATTCCTGTGTGCAGCGGGGAGGAAAAAGGAGTAACAAGAAAGCACACATGTTGGTGTTGGGTTGGTTTTATTGATGACTCACTCCAATTGCTAACAATTGTTCAAGTAAAATGGGCAAAAGCCCAAGTCCATAGATGGAAATGGCATCAAGTCCATAGATGGAAATGGCATCAAGTCCATAGATGGAAATGGAAGCAGTCCATAGATGGAAATGGAATCAAGTGGAAACCGGCAGTTGATTGGTGTCTTCCCGGCCCCTCCCATGCCAGGAAAGCAAAGGCGGCCTTCCAGACGTGGCTGATTTATTCCACAATCAGAGGGGTTGTGTAGAGGGAATGCCGGATTCCAAAAGTGGATGCAGGCGCCCGGGGCTTGATCAGCGTCACCTGGAAGGGCAAAAAGGAAAGGCAGATCAGCAAGGGCCCTTCTCTTCTCTGCTGCCCTCCCTTCCTCTGCTCGGAGGTGGCACGAGGGCAGGGAGCAGGCCTGCTCTCCGGCACTTGGTCCCTGCGGCCAGAAGCTCTTTGGCCGGAGGAAGCCTCAGGGCAAGGGGGAGAGGTGTGAAGGCTGTGCTTGTGAAACAGAGGGGACGAGCTGAGCAGCGAGCTGCCTTACCCGGCCTATGTTGTAGTCTGCGGGCCCGGGCTTCACTGCTTTGCCCTCTGCAGGTTTTGATCGGGCCGCCATGGTGTACGCGGGCGCCCTGGTCTTGTAGGCATCCACAGCTACCTTGGGAAACGCCGCGGGCCCCGGAGTCTGCAAGAGAGTCATGGGTGCACGGGGCTGGGATCACACGCAAGGCTCTCTCTTTCCCTGGAAGCCTGCGTTTAGCAAAGGTGCTTGGGGCTTGGAAGCCCCCTGGCACAGGGAGAGCAGCCCAGCTTCGGATGCTAACATGGAAAAGAGGAGCAGCAGAGCTCACCTTGGCAAGGTCTTCGTCAAAGCGGCCGCGCTGGCTCCTTCCCCTCATGGAGTAGCAGGGGCTGGCCGCCGTGTAGGCTGTATTGGGGCCCATCAGCTTGGGCAGCGTGTAGGTGCCCGGACCTGCAGGAGGAGCAGCAGAGAGCGTGTGCGTGAGGGGCTGGAGGAGACGGAAGCAGCAGAGAGGGGCAGCCCGCCCAGCCTGCTGGGGGGAGGGCTCGCCCCTCTGCCAGTTCCTGCCTCTACTCCGGCACTGGGCCAGTGCCGGCAGCTCCGAGCCCGAGCAGCCGGAGCCGCTGCGGGCCGAGAGGTGTTGGTCACGCCAGAAAGCTTGCGGCCCCAACGCCGCACAGGCTGCGCGGTCGGCCCGCTGCTGGTACTGATCAGCGGCCCGTCCCTGCAGGATGCTCAGGATGAAGGGTCTGCCTTTGCCGCGGTCAGCGTACCTGGAGGGCGGTCTGTGCGCAGGGGCTCCCGCCGGAAGGCCATGGACTGCACCGGTGGGCACTTGAAGACGTGCCTGTTGGCTGCCTCGGTGCGGTAGTCACCTGGGGCGGAGGAGAAGAGGAAGAAAGCCGTGAAGTGCTGGTCTCCTGCAGCCGCAGGGACAACGTCCCGAGGAAAGGGTCTTCTGAAGGGCTGCAGGATTGCCGGGGGGCGCAGGCAGCACGCGGGGACGCTTTTCCGTGCCCCGCCACTATGTCCTGCCTTGCTGTCCCTCCTGTCAGCCCCCGGCTCCCTGTTCTTTTCGGACGCGGGGTCCTTGTGCCCTCGGCCCGTGGTGCTGGGCAGCCGTCCTTCTCCAAGGGGAGAGCGTGTTTATCGCTGCTCACAGCGGTTTGTGCTCTCTCACAAAAGACCGACGGCTCCATCAGGGCGCGAGCTGACCCAGGGCAAACGCCGCGTGTGGGGGAAGCGCTGCAGAAGTGGTACTCACTGGGTCCGGGGGTGACGGTGGTCTTCGTCGTGGGGCGTCCACAAAGGTGGGCGCTCGGAGCCACGTGCTTCCCGTTCCTGGTGACGGCGGGCTGCACAAAGTAGCAGGGACCTGGCCCGCAGCTCTCGGCCGCAGGCGGCTTGGTCCCGCGAAACGTGTACGCGGGGGCACGGGCTTTGGTGGGGCTGTGGCCCACGAAACCTAGGAGGAAAAGCAGAAGAGTCAGTCCCTGAGCGCAAATGCCTGCGCCAGCGCCATGCAAAGCCGCCGGAAGGAGAGAGCGGAGCTTTGGCCAGCGCGCTGCCAGTGGCCAGCAGTTTCCAAAGGCCTGCCCGCACCACGCGCGCAGGCACTCCGCAGCGAGAGGCCCCAGAGCGCCGAGTCTGCGGGAGGCTCCGACGGCACGGGGAAAGGCTCGGGAGCTGCTCTGCCCCGCCACGGCCCCGACGCGCGTCCCCCTGCGCCCCGGCGATGGCCGCCGTACCTGTTGTCCCCGGGATGGAGTACTGGGGCCCGGGGCTGGGGAACTGGGCCGAGATGAGGCCGCGCGGGCGATGCGGTCTCCACGTCCCCACCCAGGCTCCGTCCATGCTGGCAGGCGCGTGCCTCCAAACCTACAGGCAAGAGCAGAGGAGTCAGTGCCGGGCTGCCCCGGCAGAGGCCGCGGGTGAGCTCCGCTTGCCGCCGCCCGCCGCTCGGAGCCCGGAGGGGCCGGCAGGAGCGGGCTGTCTCCTCCGCTCAGCCGCGAGCTGTCCGCCGCGTGCCTTGCGGCTCCCGGGCCAGAAGGGCCGGCAGCGATTTCTGCTGCTCACGGCGGTCCTGCCGCTCTCGTGCCGCACGCCCCTCGCGCGCGGCGGAGCTCAGCCCGCACCCCGCGGCCGGGCTCTGCGGCCCGAAGCGTGCCGGAGCTCTCCCTCACCTCTGTGAGCCTTGGAGGACGAGCGCGACGAGGCTGAGCTAGTCTGCTGCTGGGGCTGCTCTCGGGCACGGGGCACGGCGAGCGGCTGCGGGCAGCGCAGCTCACGAATGGGGCGCCTGGAGCCGGCGGCCAGCTGCCCTCGGGGAGGGCCCGGCGTCGCCATTGTGACGGCACGCGGGCTCCGGGGACGTCATCGGTGCTGGGACGTCTCCCGGCCGGCCCGGAGCCGCGCCCTCCACGCCTTTTCGGCCGCGCGCCCCAGCCCGGAAAAAGCTGGAGCGCACGCTGCCGACCCCTGCAGGTGGACCGAGCTCTCAGTGCCAGCCCCGTGCCGCCCGGGGCTCCTGGGGCTTCATCAGCGTCACCTGCAAGGGAGAGAATCCCAGCGGGGAAATGCACTGAAAGTCCCTTCCGCCTGGGAAGGTGCAGCCACCAGCTTGATGATTTGGTTGCCCTCTCTTTTAGCTTGTTCCAAAAATACATCTAAATGAAGTGCACGTGTTGTTGCCGTTCACTCTTTTCTGGGCGTTTGCAGAATCACAGTGGTGGGATCCATCCAGTGCAGCTCCTCAAACAGCGCCAGGTCCTGCGTGCGTATCTGGGGCGTGGGGAACCCGGCCCATGGAGGCGTGCACGCAAAGGCACCCGTGTCACACGCGTGCTCCTCGTGTCCCCACGTGCTCCTCGTGTCCCCACGTGCTCCTCGTGTCCCCACGTGCTCCTCGTGTCCCACACTCCTGCGCGCGCATCGCACCTCACGTCCCACGCGCGCTGCTCGCGTGCCAACACGCGCACGGGTCGCTTCTTCACAGAAGCGCACCAGAAGCCGCACGCGCGGTGAGCAGCTCGTGCTCGCGCTCACCCTTCGTGCGGGTGCTCAGCTGGTCCGGCCCCGCGCATTCATCTCATCACAAGCAGCGCCCCCCGCAGCCGGCAGCGCCGTGCCCCCCGCCCGGGCCCCTCCTGGCGCCTGCGCGCACTGCCCGCGCCTGCTGCTTACGTCCTTGGCAAACATCCACGTAACCTGCAGCTCCGGCGGGACGGCGAAGGGCACGTCGCAGTGCAGCGTGATGGCTTCGTCCTCGTGGACCCACAAGTCCTGAACTGGGAGCACTGCCAGCTGAGCTCACCTGCGCTCATGCACCTGCAGGAGCCGCCGCGCCGCTGCGCGACCGCCGGTGCTCGCGGCGGGCGTGGGCAGACACGCCGCCTGGGTAGCGACGTCCCGGTCCCCTGCCCCCTACCTGGGCAGTCCACAGGGAACTGGCAGTCCACGAGGCGGCAGGTTGAGCACTGGAAGATGCGCGCGGCCGGCTGGTGCCCTGGGAAGGAGGTGGTGGGAGCGTCAGGGGGTAGGGGGGGAATCTGGGGACGGGGGGATGGCAAAACACGAGAGAACTCACCGCAGGGGGGGATGCAGGCAGGAGCTGGTTGGGGGAAGGAAGCATCGTTAAACTGGGGATCGCGAGGGGTCCTCATCCCTGTGACGAGCTGTAAGGGCTCAGCCCCTGTCCAGCCCTGGAATGGAGTCCCTGGGGGTGCCTCCAGGGAAGGGATGCCCAGGGTGGAGACCTAGAGGGGTGTCTGTGTGCCCCATGTGGGGAAGCTGGGGGGTGGAGTCCCACGGTTCGCATGGGGGGGGGGGGAGTCCTGGATGGGGGTCCCTGCTGGCCCCATACCTTGCTCCAACTGGCTCAGCTTCACCCAAATCATTTGGATGGCTTCCCGCAGAGACACCTCAAAAGGCTCTGGAGGCTCACAGATGTCCATGTCAGACAGTGCTCCCACCCCCAAATCTTCCAGTGTCAAGACTCGTGTCCCCACTCATCCCACACATTCCCCGTGCAACTCTCCTGGATCCCAGACTTTCATATGCCCCTGAATATCCCCCAAAGCACCAGATTCTCCATACCCTGAAACCCGTCTACCCTCAGGATTCCCCAAATATGCCTTTACACCACGCCTGAAATCCATACATCCTATATTCCATGGATCCCCATCCAAGTCCTCTGAGCCCCGTCCCCTGTGCCCCAAATCTCCCATACATCTCATCCCTGCTCACTCTTGTCCTTCTGCTTCTCCAGTAAATGCAAGGCATCCATGACGATCTTCCGCAGTGCTTCGCTCTGCGCTGCTCCTGGGACCACAACAAGGGCACTGGGACCATCACACGGTCAGGACTGGAGGGCTCAGGGCTGGAGGGTTCCAGTAAGAACTGGAGGAGGGCTCAGGGCTGATTCCCAGAGTCCAGGTCAGGGCAAAGGGGTTCTGGGAATGGCCAGGCATCCCTGAAGACCCCCCAAGATCTTGGGAAGCTCTGGGAGTTGCTGGAAGTCCACACTGTACCCCTGCCCAGGGCTGGGATCCATCCAGTGTTCCATGCAAGTCTGGCGTTCCCAGAGATCCCCGGGATCCATATCAGAGTTGGGAGAGTGCCAGATGGGTCTGAGGGGTGCCTGGGGGAGTCCACCTCAAGACTGGGGAGACCGTGGCATGCTTGAGGGCCCCCAGAATGCTCGTCTGAGTGTCCCGTTGAGATGGTGGCCCCTAGGGTGCCAGTCAGGACGGGGGCAGAGGGTCCCATTGGGGTGGGCATCCCTGGGGTCCCACCACCCACCCACAGTGACGGGGGCAAGTGGCACAGCAGCCTCTGCGAGGGCCTCCAGGCAGTGCTGGTGCTGGGAGTCCTGAGAGCTCCTGGCCATCTCACGGCAGAGCCGGGCCCACTGAACGGGGGGCCCAAAGCAGAGCAGGCAGGGGCGCAGCCCCGGAAGCCAGGGCACCAGGAGCAGCAGGAGGGGCAGCCACCGCCGCTCCATGGTCTCAGAGCACAGCACGGCCTGCCTGGGTGCCCAGGCAACGGGGGTTCCGAGGTGGGGCCCAGGTGCCCGGGTCACCTCCCGTGGGGATGGAGACACTCTGACATGTGGCTTTTGGAAATGGAGGAGCTCTCGCTTCCTCATTTTCATCTCCTCACGTTCTTTGCCTTCAGTCCCCACCGATATCACTGATATCTCCAAACACCCTCTTTCTTGACACTTAATTACTGCCACCCACCTCCCCCCATTCCCTACAAGCTTATTCCTTGCGCACCCTCAGCCCAGGCTCTTGGATCTCCACATCCCAGCTGGTGAAATCCACACAAGATTCACTTTTGGTTTGGTGCCCAACTGTATGCAAGGTACCTACATAACTTCTGAAGTGCTCGGTCTCTGGAATGGTAGGAATTGCTTTGTGTTTGGAGGCAGCGCTCATTGCGCAGCGTTGGAACACTCCTGGAACTGAGCTGCTCACGTTCCACATTTTGTGCTGAAGCACAAATCCCAGAGACTGCAACACAGAGGAATGTTCCATCCCGAGGGACAGAACAGCAACCCCGGTTTTCATAGGAATGCGTAACACTGAAACCTGAAAACAACCTACAAACAGGTGGGCATGGAAACCCACTAATGGAAAACAGTAATGGAGAGAGAGGGAACACAGACAAGCCCCGGAAACAGTGGGAAAATGTGGAGCAGCCACTTCCCAACACTGTTGTTGAGATGCTTTAACATGGCAGGTGCAATCCGCGGGCCCTGGCAGGGGTCACTGGCGCAACCCTGTGTTTGTGGTTGTGTCTTTAAACATGGGCTCACGTTAGCAGTCTCTTCACCAGATCAGCATCAGATTCCTCAGCCACGTGTTTGCTCTCAACTGACCAGCAGCGTCACCCTGCGCACACGCGCTCAGTCCTTCTGGCTGCTGGCCACGCATGTGGGACTTGGACAGAGCCGGATTCTCATGTTCTGACTGGAGTCTGGCGTGCTCTTCCTACCAGCAGGTCACAGCCGTTCCTGTGGTTCACACGTTACCATCTGCTGGAAAATATTCCGTACTTGTCTGCTTACTGCTGGCCCAGTTTGACCTGCTCCAGAACTCAGGATTCAGTCAAATATTTGAACGAAGCGCGAAATAAAGTGATAAATAAGTTGCTTTACCTCTTCATAAGCATGCAGACTTTCTGCTGTTAACAGAAATCGGTCTTCAACCCTTCCCACTCATCGCAGAAGCTCTTGATGCCCCCACGACACAGGGAGGCTCTGGGGTGCGTTCTGCCCCCGTCCTCACCCACAAAGCATTAAGAGGGACCTTGGAGGCGGGGGGAGCTTTGACAGACCTTTCTCAGATTTCAACCAGAAACTATCCCGGAGGGGCATTTTGGGGATCTTTATTTTGTAAATGATCATTTCTGCATCTTTTTCTAACCCTTACACGAAGTGCTGTGGGGGCTGCCTTGTTGTGGGGGGAGGGCGGCCCTGGGGTTCCTGACTTCCGCTGCAGGTCCCTGGGTGCACCAGTTGTCGGAGGCTGCGTCTCAGCATCACCGCAACCCGGGGGGATGGCGCCATCAGCGGCCCCCTCCCACCCCTCCCTGCCATGGCGCTGAACCCTGTGGCCGCCCCAGACCCTCTGCGCACCCCCCCTTGTTCCTGTTCCTCCCTGACCCCCCTCGGCCGCGGTGTTTTATCGCAGTTAGGAGGGACCAGGACTGCCGCGTGTTCCCTCTCGCCCACTGAAACATTTTGCACCCGAGATTAAATTAACCTGCACAGCTCTGTTTCAGGCTGAAAACGGAGTGTTTGGAGGAGGAAGGGGCATCTGCGTCCTGCTTTGCAGGGGACTGGAATGACGGCATCACGTGCTGACACGTGATCACCACGGGAGCTCTACTGGGGCTGCAGGGACCGCAGTCCCGGCGGTCATTTTGCATGGCAGGCGTCCATCACCCGTTGGGGCACATGAGAGGTTCACAACACTCAGGGCTCCGTCCCACGGTGGGGCCGTCAGGAGCACAGGGCGGCGGCGGCGTCGCGCTCCACCTCGATGGACACGATGTGGTGCCCAGGCACCATGGCCAGGCCCAGCACACGCGGCTCGCTGCCCGGGAACGCATCTGCAGGGGACAGCAGCACCGTGTCAGCCTCACCGCCACGTCCCCATCCCCACGATTCCCCGTGGTCCCGCTCCCATCACCCCCGGTACCCCAACCGCCCTCCCCATCGCTGCCTCCACTTCATCGCTCCCCTCACCCCCATCCGACCCCGAGTCCCCACTGCCCCTGCGGCCCCATTTCCCGCCGTGGCCCCGTACCCGCAGCCTTGAGGAACTCCTGCGCGGAGCCGAGGATGATGTTGGCGTCGCGGTCCGTGCAGAGGAAGGCTCCCACCAGCGTGCGCCCGTCCGACATGCGCACCCGCAGGCTGCGGTTCAGCAGCGCCGCCAGGCGCCGGGCGCGGGGCTGCGGCCCTCCGGGAGGCTGCACGGGGGAAGCCGGGTCGGACACGGTCCTCCTATAGAACCTCTGCAGCACCCATAACCCCCCAGGCATCCCATGAGCACCCGCACAACCCCACCGCGCCCCTGCGGCTCCCAGGACCGCCTGCTGAACCCCGCGCCCTCTCCGTGCCTCGCCGGTCCCCTGCAGCACTGCCACAGCCACGCCCGCGGCTCCCAGCAGCGCCCGCACCGCTGCCGCAGCACCCCTCCATCTCTGCACCTCGCACGCAGGGCCCCTGTTCCCACTCCGTCGCTCCCAGGACCTCAAAGCACACCTACGCTTCCCAGCACCCCACAGCGCAACCCAGACGCTCACCCGGAGGATCGCTTACCGCAGCTCCCAGAGCGCCCGCCGAGCAGCCCGCAGCTCTCGGCACTGCCTGCTGGACCCGCACAGCTTACGGGATCGCCTACGGGACCCCGCAGCCCCCATACAGCTCCCAGGACCCCAGCAGCTCCCATACCGCTTCCGCCTCTACAGCTCCGCTACCCCTCGGACCGCCCCGTGCCCGCCCGCACCCGCCTGCGGCCCCCTCGCAGCTCCTACAGCCCTCCTGCGGCCACTTCCTAGAGCCCCGCGGAACTTACAGACCTACAGCCTCCAGCGCCCCCATCCCGCCCCACAACACCCCGAACGGCCGCCCCGCTCACCGCCGGCTCCGCCATAGAACCGCACCGCTCCCCGGCAGCCCCCGCGCGGCGGCGGAAGGACCGCGCTTCCCGGCATGCCCCGCGGCGCCGCCGGGGGAAGGAGGGAGGGCGGTTCTCGGGTCAGCCAATCAGGAAGGGCGCTGCCAGCCGCGTTGCCATGGAGACGGCATCGCTTTCCGGCGGCGTTGTCGTTAACGGCGCTGCTTTCCGGCAGTGTTGCCGTGGCAGCGGGCAGCCTAAAGTGGAATTTAAATTTGACGCAGTGATCTCTAGAGGTCTTTTCCAACCCCTACAGTTCTGTAACGGGAGCGGACAAAAAGGTGCGGGGATATGGCTTAAGTGGGAGGGGAAAGAGTTAGCGGAAGGCCAAAATGAGAGGCAGGTAGGGGTAGGGGTAAAAATGGAGAGGTTAAAGGAGAGCCTAATTGGGTAAAGTGGAGGAAGGGTCTACAGAAGGAGAGCAGGATGTTGGGGACTGAATTGGGGAGCAAAAGAAGGTGGGAATGGCATGGTCTTAAAATGGGGGAATGCTCCCATGTAGCACTGCTGTACAACTCCCCATATGGATCCCTCTTTTTGTCCTTGTGACCCCCTCCACCCCATAACCACCCTACATCCCCCTCTTTGACCCCATGACCACCCCACCCCATGACACCTAAGAAGTCCTGTGACCCCCATTGCACCTCATCACACCCCGTGACCCAATCAGTTCCTCTTCCTATTCCTCCCTGTAGCCCCTCCACCCCCTTAACTCCAGATCCCACTTCTCCGGCCCCTTCATAGTCCCTGCCTCCCCCTTGCCCCGGGTGTGCCCATGTCCCCATTGTCCTCTGTATCCCTGATACCCGTGTGCCCCATGTCCTGTATGTCATAAAATCACAGAATGGCTCAGGTTGGAAATAATGTCACAGCCCCACTCCTGCTGCGTGCTGGTTTCCTCCCCAGCTCGGGCTGCCCTGGGCCCATCATGGCCTGGGGCACCTCCAGGGATGGGGCACCCACAGCTCTGGGCAGCAGCGCAGCGCCTCACTGCCCTCTGAGTGAAGAATTTCCCCTCACGTCTGATTGATTGTTGAAAATTGTTGAGCCTCAGGTGCTTCCCATGGCCTGCTGTCCATGTCCATCTGGATGCCTCCCTTCCTTCTGCTGCATCCGCTGCACCGCTCGGCTCGGTGTCTGAGGGTGCACTGAATCCCATCATCCACGTCCCTGATAACGCTGTTGAAGAGTACGGGTCCCACAGAGCAGCCTGTGGGACAGCACTCATCCCTGCCTCCACCTGGCGCAGTCATTGACCACAGCCCTCCAGCTGTGACCTTCCAGCCAATTCCTTACCCACCAAACGTCCCGCCCCTCAGACCCGGATCTCTCCAACTTGGAGATAAGGATGTGGTGGGGCACCACAGAATCACAGAATGGCCAGGGTTGGAAGGGACCTCAAGGATCATGAATCTCCAACCCCCTGCCACATGCAGGGCCACCAACCTCCACGTTTAGTGCTAAGCCAGGCTGCCCAGGGCCCCATCAACCTGGCCTTGAACACCTCCAAGGACACCACGTCAAAGGCTTTGCACAAGTCCAGGTAGGTGACATCGGCCGCCCTCCCTTTGCCCACCAAGGTCATCGCTCCATCACTGAAGGCCACCAGGAGGGCCAGCCGTGCTCTGCCCTTGCTGAGGCTGTGCCAGCTGCCTGCGGTCACCTCGTCTCCCCTCTGCCTTAAGGTCTCCTCCGCGGTCCTGCCAGGCACAGAGAGGCTTTAAGATTTGCTGATTGTATCTTCCTTGTGTGTTAGACCAGGCTTGGTCAGGTGGGCTCTGCAGCTGGCTTTGTGTTTGCAGTCATCCCCTTTCCTTTTTACTTGATTCTTTTATCTCTACCAGAGATAAACTGTGGCTTTATTTTGTAGCCATTTTGGGGTTTCACCAATTCTGTCATTTTCCATAAAAAATAATTTACAAACTTCTTCTGGATTTTCCTCATCTTATGCCATTTCTTATCACGATAATGATAAAAATAATGATACATAATTATATAATTTGTTTGGTTTTCTCCCAGTTTTCTTCTCAAGTGCGGGTTTGCGGGGTCATAATTTGCTCAAAATAAATAAAATGTAGTAATTTAACATATTTTTCCCCCAAAATAAGCCCAGGACTGAAAAGCAGTGGGATTGAAGGGAAAGACTAGATGAAAATTGGGGAAATTCAGGAGAAAGATATGGAAACTTAGGGGGAAGTTAGGGAAAATAAGGAACAAGTAGAAGAAACTTGGAGGAAAAATATGAAAAATTTGGCATGTTTGGGAAAATTGGGGTAAAATGAGGTGGTAGTTAGAATAATAACCTGGGAAAAGTGAGAAATTTGGGAAAAATGGGAGAAAATAAGGGAAAAATATTGAAATTTGATGTAAAATGAGTAAAATTTGGGAAAAATGGGGGAAATAAGGTAATGAGGGGAAGTTTGGGAGAATATAGTTTTTTTTCTTTGTAAATTAGGAGAATATTGGGGGAAAATGGAAAATGAAGTAAAAAAAGGAAATTTGGAGGGGAAGTGGGTGAAATTCAAGGGGAAATAAGAGCAACTAAGAGCAAAGCCAGGTGGAATTGGGAAAAGCGGGGGAAATAATGGTAATATTAGGAGAACCTTGGGGGAGATAAGGGAAGAGTGGGTAAATTGGTCAAAAATAAAAGAAAAATATCGGGGAAATTAAGGAGAAAGAGGGAAAACAAGGAAATTAGCGGGAAAAGCGGAAAAACGAGTGAAACTGGAAGGAAATTTGGGGAAGAACCAGGGAAATGAGGACAAATGCAGAAAGTTAGTGGGAAACGAAGGAAAACCTGGGGAAACGCGGGGGAAGGTGCAGAAACTTGGGGAGAAAAGCAGCAGCCGGAGGGGCGCCAGGGTGTCCCATGTGGCCGTATAAGGGCAGCAGCTGCTCGGCTTGGGGGAGGAGTCCTAAAAATAGGGACAAGGACAGGGACGAAGGCAGCCCGCCCCACCTCCACCTGCCCTTTGTCCGTCCGCGATCCTTTCGCCTGCCGTCATCCATCCCATAATAGCCGGAGGGAGTGGGCGGGGGGCCGCGTGTGGACTTTGTCCTTGTCTGTAGATCCCACAGAGTTCTGTGGCATTCCAAGGGTCTTACAGGGTCCTATGGGGCGGGAGGGGAAAGGGGGGGGGGTGGTGTGGGATTCTGTAGGAACCCATGGCTCCTCTGGGGTGCTATGGAGCTTGAGGAGCCCCTAAGGGATCCCGTGGGTGCTATAAGGTCCTACAGGGCTCTGTGGGGCTGGGTATGGGGCTGTGGTGGTGCTGGGGAGGTCTTATAGGATCCGGTAGGATCCTATGGGGAGCTATGTGGTCGGGGGAACTGAGGGATTGTATTGGGATGCGGGGCTCATATGAGGTCGAGGGAGTTCTATGGAATTTCTGTAGGGCAGAGGGTCCCTAGGAGGCAGGGAGATCCCTATGTGGTCCTATAGGGCTGGGGGTCTCCCTATGGATGCCTATGGGGCAGGGGTCTGAGGGAGGAGGTGGATGTCAGATGCTGTCTGGCCACACCTCCTAGATGATTTATAACTTTTTGGGGAAGGGGGGGAGATAAAAGAAGTCCCCATAATCAGAAGCAACTGAGCCTGGGCAGGTGGGAGTTGGGAATGAGGAGCACTGGAAGGGGACTGAGTTTGTCTGTAGGGGAACTGGAAAGGAATGGGAGAAACTGGGAGGGGATATGGGGAAACTGAGAGGGACTGGGAGGGTCGATAGGGAGAATGGGAGGGACTGGTTGGGACTGGGAGGGGATGTGAGGAAACTGGCAAGGACTGGGATGGAACTGGGAGCACTGGGGGTTCTGTAGGGGGATAGTGGGAGGAGATATGGGGGGATATGGAGGAATCGGGAGGGGGATGGGAGGGAACTAGGAGTGGGTATGGGGGGGAAACTGGGAAGGGATTGGGAGGGTCCGTAGGTGAACTGGGTTGGGACTGGAATATACTGGGATGCATTGATGAGCTCATGCTGTTTTTCTGGACCTGGATTCACTGAATGAGGACAAAAAGGTGAGGGAGGGACTGGAAGCATTGGTGTCCAACTAGTGTCCAGCTCGTGTCTTACTGGTCTTGATAACATTGCGGTGCCTTACTGGTTCCTTACATGTCTTACAGGTGCCTTGCTGATGTTAGTGTTGCTAATCTTACTGGCAGTAGTAGTACTGGTATCTTACTGTTGTCCTTCTGGTACCTTAATGGTGTCCCACTGGTGTGAATGGTGTCCCACTGATGCCTTACAGGAGTCGCTGATGCCTTACAGTTTTAATAGTGTCTTAGTGGTGCCTTACTGGTGTTCTGCTGATCTCAGTGGTGTCACAGTGGTGTCCTTCTAGTCTTAGTGGTGTTCTGTTGGGCTTAATGGTGTCCTACTGGAGCCTTAGTAGTGTTTGTGTTACTGGTGCCTTGCTGGTTTAGTACTGACTTAATGGTGTCCTGATGGTGCCTCACTGGTGTTAGTTGGACTGGTTTCTTATTTGTGACTTACTGGTGTGACTGATGCCTTACTGGTGTGCAGGCTGGCGTACAGGTGTACAGGCCACCATACCAGCCCTACCCTCCGAGCTGGCCAAGTTCTTGGAGGCCACACAATGCCTGTGGTGTCAGAGCAGGAGCACTTGGCAGCACAGACACGGCCCTTCAACCTCGAGTGCGACATCTCCATCCCTGACAAGCATGAGGAGCTCATCAGGGCCACTGTCGTGTCCTGTAGTGGCACCAATGTCACCATGCAGACCGAGCATGGGCAAGGTGGGCTGCCAAAAATAGTGAAAATTAGTCCTGAAGTGGTCCAGATTACCCCCAAAATGGCATCTGGAATCATCCCAAGATGGTGTCCGGAGTCACCCCAAAAAGGTGGTCTGTATTGCCCTCAGAATTGCCCAAATTACTCCCCAAATGGCCTGCATTGCCACAGAAAAATGGCAGCTAGACTCATATCAAAATGGCCCAGATCATCCTCAAAATGGCAGGCTGAATTACCCCCAAGATGGTCCAAATCACCCCCAAAATGATGCAGATAGGCCCCAAACAGTGGGTGGAATCATCCCAAAAT